AAACGTGCACGTTTGCACTTCCCCGCCAGAGAGAAGCTGTTAGCCGGGAATTCTCTTGCTGGTTGTAACCGCTGCCCGGAACGCTATGCAGGGCAACAGCGATTCTCGTCCTCCGTGCTTGCTTTTTCTCAGAATGGGGCTTGGTGAGCGTTTTCGGCCGAAAACGCGTTTTCGGCCGAAAACGTGCACGTTTGCACTTCCCCGCCAGAGAGAAGCTGTTAGCCGGGAATTCTCTTGCTGGTTGTAACCGCTGCTCAAGGAACAGTCAGCCGACACACGGAATTGTTTTGCTGCGCGATAAACCGGCGGGGCTTCAGCATCAAGAAAACGTACTTCGTTTTATAGTTCTTATTTTTGCTTTTTCGTTTTTTCCCTTCGTGTTGAGGAAGCTGCAGTGGCCGCTGCGCTCTCGGGGGACGCTGCTCACGTGTCTGTGAAATGACGTGTGAGCCCTGAGGAACTCAAGTGAAAATCCGGGAATAAGGTTTCGCGGTGGTGTCAGAACCAGTAGTGGGAGCACCACATTCTTTGTTTAAAACACAAAACATCACGGTTTGAAAAATTCCTGGGGATTTACATGTAATACACACACACTGAGTTTTACTTTGTTGAAGGCTGAGAACAGACTTGGACGTTAACTGTGCGGCCTGGGAATGTTTGCCAGTTTTACTTTCCTGTAGTAATTATTTTTTTAAATGTTCTCTTTGAGGCCACCATGTCTCGAGAGACTGGAAGCGAAGTGCAGCAGTCTCAAGGTGCCCAGCAGTCCCAGAGCGGGGCCGGTTCCTCTTCCAGTGGGTCTCAGAGCACCAGCCAGTCTTCCTCCAGTTCTGGGACCATCAGTTCCTTGGACACAGTTCCCACTCAGGAGCTTCCGTCAATCCCTGAGGACCAGGAATCTGAAGAGCTTGTTCCTCAGCCTTGGGGTCGTCTTTTTGCACTTGGAAAAGGTTTCAGCAATTATGGTATGTGCCTCTTGGTTCGATTGTAGCACCTCTGAAAAGTTCTGAGGGCCTTGGTGGAGAGTGGTGTCTTTTCATGTTCAAATTCAGTACAAGCCGATCTAAGCGCAGGCTTGCAAATTCTGCAGTAATGTTTTATTCTGTGCTACATCCCAGCGTTTGTACTGGGTGCCCTGGTGTGCAGCTTCCATAGGCTTAGAGGAATTGTGGGGTATTCACATTCCTTACCACTTGCTTCATTTTTCCCTTTCATAATTTATTTTGTTGATATATCATCTAAGTCTCTCTGTATTGCTGAAGTTGAACTGAAAACTCTGTTACTAAAGAGGTTAAAATTATTAAAATATTGTGCAAGGTGTTGATAATTCAAAGCACCATGCACTAAGACAAATAAACTTGATCTTATAGGGAGATTCTTGTCTTTGTTATCCCACTCACTGCCACTTGGCATCATTCTGTGGTGCCGCAGTTAGTAACTCCCTGCAATTCTGTGTTTTCTCTCTGCTTTACTTCCCCCCACTCTACAGACTGTGTGAATGATGAATACTGGTTTGGAAGAGACAAAAGCTGTGACTATAGTTTTTCTAAGCTAGGATTGTCTGAGACTGGCTTCTACCAAAACTACAGCAAGAAGCATTTCCGAATTTTCAGGGTAGGTGATAAAAAGGTTAACTTTCTTTTTATATCTTGTCATAATTGAAGAAGATTGACTTTGGCGGGGGCGGATCCTCAAGAAATCTCAGTTTTCATTAGCTTCAGTGTTGATTCCCTTAACAAGACTCTTGGCAATGCTCCATTAAGCTGGTTTATGGAATAACCTCAGTAGTCTGATTTCCTGAGCCAACAATAGTAAATTGCTATAGTCTGTCATGTCTTTACAGTAAAGTTTCTTTTTCCCTACCGTTATCTTTCCCCTTTTGTTTTTCTCTTTGAGGAAACGGGTCCAAAAAATTCCTATGTTGCCTACATTGAAGACCACAGTGCAAATGGAACTTTTGTTAATAGAGAGCTCGTTGGAAGAGGGAAGAGGCTTCCCCTGACTCACAACTCTGAAATTGCACTGTCTGTACAGACTAATAAGGGTAAAACATACTGTAACATAAGTAGGTTCTTCATGTGCTGGCCAAGAGGTCCTTTCCACACTGATCTGAATGTTTTTTGCAAGTTGTGCTGCTTCATGAGAGCTGTTAAAATACAGCTGTGATTTGATGTTTTAGTACTCCATAAAAATTACCTGTATCCACCTCAACCCTAGGAAAAAAACTGAAAAAAGAAAATTTATAAGAAGCTGCATCAGGAACCAACTTACTAGACTATAAACTTTTACAGTTGTTTCCCTATTTTTGAAACACTCTTGTACTTCAGTAGCTGTGTATGTGGTGGTGGGAACAGAAGAAACAGACTATTCAAGGGAGGTTGAAAAACCCCAGGAACTTACCAGGTGCTGTATAATAATTAAAAAAACCCTCTTAAATATTAGCAGGTCGGAGGCTTCTTTCTTTGCCTTTTCTTTTCCAGTAAGATGCTGTCTTCCCAGCTGTCACTTCTTCTCTGCTGTGACACTGAAATTCTTGCTGATTTTGTCCCTAACTAGTGTTAATTGGTGAAGCCTTGTAAAATTAATAGTGATGACGTCAGTTTTAAGTAATAAGATCACCTTGCTAACCCATAGCTGATGTCATTTATAGCATCAACTAACTTTTTAATATAATGATCTTTCTTCTAGCAGGCAGCCTTGTCTTACTTATGTTGTTGACTATAAAAGCTCAAGAAGCATAGTTAGTTGTTGTAACAAAATTTTGAAGTTAATAACAGGAAAATAATCTCCACTTATTTTCCTAGTGTTTGTATTTTCTGATCTTACGGTGGATGATCAGTTAGTGTTTCCTAGAGAACTCAGAGAGAAATATATCATGTCGAAGACTTTGGGAAGGTAAGCATCCTTCTTTCTGTTGTATTAAGCATTGATTTTTGTTACCATTTTCAGTACCTTGTGTTGGAATGACTACCAGTGTTACGTGAGCTGCTGTTTTTTTTTAAAAAAAAAAAAAAGAATGGCAACACCTGAGTAAACTTCTTTACGACAGGAGTTTTGGCTTTATTCCTCTAATTGGCTTGAGTTTTGTAACCTACCATTAATTGTGAAACTGGGGTTTAGAGAAAAAAGTCTGCAGGTTCTTAATAAGTTTTAAAATTTTGTATATTGGTTTACTCAGTTATTGGAAGTAGAAGGAAGAGCTTTATGTCAGAATATGGCTTTCTACAACATTGCTGTTGAGGCCTTCAGATAGAAAGGGAAAGAGCTTTCAGGAAAAAGGAGAGAGGCTATTTTTTTATCTTTTGGAAAAAGATGGTCAGTGAAGAATTTGGAGAATGGTTAAGTGTAAACAAATCCGATGCAAAATACAAGGATTTGTTCCTGTAATGTAATTGCTACTTAGTAAAAAAAAAATATTGCCATATCTGGCTTCAGATTTGTGCAGTGTGGTGTTGAGAGAACTCTTCACTAGGTTCTCTTCTCTTAAATGCATTTGTGTGATGGAAACGCTGACAGAGCTTGTTCTTGACGCTCATGGGGACCCACCGTACAGACCAATTAGTTGCTTGACACATTTACTCTGCATTTTTGAATGGGTGGCTCTTGACATCACTTGGTGTTTGAATAGATTTCCCAACGATTGAATGCTTTCTGAAAAAGTTTTGACAACGTGCCATGTTCAGGAAGTTAGAAAGCAGCAGCCTCAGATTGTGTGTAACCCAGTGCTTTCGTTGCAGTTGTCTGTACTTGTTTCGCAGATTTTTGAAAAGTATTTGTAAGGGTTAACATAGCTGTGCTTTCCTGCTAGTGGTGCCTGTGGAGAAGTCAAACTGGCCTTTGAGAAGAGCACTTGTAACAAAGTTGCGGTGAAGATAATCAATAAACGGAAGTTCATGGCAAGTGGAATTAGAGAGGCAGTAAGTATTTTTGTTTGCCTGTCTTCGGGTCATCTCCCAGTGGTCCTGGAATAGTTGGTCACCTCTCTGACTTCCCAGCTCACTTCAACTAAAGAGGATTTTTTCACTTAGTGTCCTCTGTATGTGATTTCAAAATGCCTTTTGATCTTACAGAATCTATCGAATTCTGTAGAAAATGCTTGATTTTATTGTTTGACCACGTGTCATTATGTTTGTCATTTAGGACCGTTTGCTAATGTGGTATGTACAGAGGGTGGTGGGGAGTCTTGGGGGGTTTATCCCCTAAAATGCATCAGATGGGCACATCATAACCAGCAGAGTCTGACCAAAAATTTACAAACTCTGCTAATTTTGTCGTATTCTCCATCATAATACATTTTAACAAATTCATATGAAGCCTTTTGGGAAGGGATTTCCATGTGTCCAGTCTTGTAGCAGAAGCTGAATTTGCCAGAGACCAAGGCAAGTGGCTTTACTCCAACACGCGAAAGAAATCCAAGCAACTTCCTATCTATTACTCTAATCTTTTAGAAGGGTATAGGATAAACTTGGAAGAAAAGTACAGTTAGAGGCAAAAGTGCACGGAAGGAGTTCTGTAAATGTGCTGCTGTGGATTTACTGAAGTTAAGTTGGATTAACCTTATTAATTTCTTTAAATGAGAAAATGGAATTGAGAGCACGGATCCAGACTACAGAACCTGTTCAAACTGACAAAATATTCCATCAGTGCGTCAGTATGGGAAACTACTGCCTGTGTTGGAAAATATTTTTGTAAAGGCAAAAATGGTAAGGTGGAGAGGTAGCTGGCTGAGGAAGGGATGACAGGAAGCTTCAGTGGGAGCCAAATTAGTTACTGGTGGAATTTCTGATAATCTGTCTTCTGTACTATTACATTTAGAGATCATGGCACAAAAAGCAGGAATACACTAGTTCAGCTCTCTGGCACTGACCCAAATCTCTGTTGATGGAAAGGAAGATTGCAGTATCATGTATGAAGACCTTTGAATGCTGGAGAAACAGAAGTGAGATAATGTTTAATAGTGCAGGATTGTATACCTCAAGATCAGTGACAATTTCTTCTATAATCTACACCTTTCCTAGGTCAGAGGAGGGGGTAGGTACAGTTTTTTGCAGATCAGTATGTAACATCAGTGCAATTGAAAATTGCAAAATGCAGTTTTGGAACATGTCTAATAAAGATCAAGAAATGCTGTTAGGAATTATGATTCTGAAGAAATGCCCCTCTACAAAACAGAGGCAGGACTGCACCTGGCATGTTGTGTACGGATTTGACTGTGTGTTCAGGGGCAACTGACTTCGATTGGAAGGAGAGCAAAAACCACTGCTGGGCTGGTTTCAGGAGTTGAGCCTAAGCCACGGATTAAAAGCATCTGTTTATGTTATCTTGCAAAATAAAAGCTAGGAGAGAGTAGCATTTAATTTTAGAGTTAGCCCATACGGAAAGGATCTTTGAGGGAGGGAAGCTGTTTAAAGGACAACAGCGATACATACTTGACAAGATTTTTTTTTTTTTTTGGTAGATTGGAAATTTAGGGGAGATTTCTAACCTGCAGTGACGTGTCTGGAGCAGTATCTTGCTATGGACAGTTGAGAGCAGACTGTTCATTTAGTTCACTGAAGGCACCTGATTGGGGGCATAAAACAATGGTTTTTCTGGTATTGTCTGTTATTTCTGATGTGTCTTATTCCAGAACAGCACTCTTACCCAATATGATATTTTATTCTCTTAATAGAACCCAGCTTTTAATATCAATACAGAAATTGAAATTTTGAAGAAAATAGATCATGTGAGTATTACTGTACATTTTTATTCATTTTTGCTGCCTACTGTACTTCTGTAGTTCACTGACCTTAATGTAAGAAAGACCAATTTTACCTGTTTAGAAAATAACGTTAAAGGGTGTATATAATTTTCCTTGTAACTAAGTCTATTGAACACTTTTAAAAAAAAGTTTTAAAGTATACTATGTCTTTACAAATTTGAGGTTTTAAAGCCTTAAATAACTGAGATGTAAATCTGAGGAGAAACTTCACAGGAGAAGTTTCAATCTGAATTGCTGTTGTAGAAATCTTTCCTTGATGCATGTTTTTGTAAATACTGCCAGAAAACAAAATATAAAGATTAGATTCCACTGGAAATTTTTAGAATTTGTATCCTATTTCCTCTGCATCCCCTCCTCCTTGCCCCCCTGCCCTGCAAAAGGCATTTCTCTTACTTTTGTTCAGTAGAAGGTTTGCATAGCTCAGTGAACATTCCCTTGTTTCCCAGTGTGCTGTTGCATATGAAGCAAATACTGAGGGTATGGTAACTCACAGCTGGAAAAAATAAGGATACTTCTTGAGCTGTAGTCACCACAAGGGTTGAACGTTTGTGTGTGTGTAGGTTTGGGGGAGAAGACAACAGACTAGAATATTAAGTGTTTGCCAAAGCCTGGGGCACGAGTCAGCTGTGTTGTTAGTTTAACTGGCATGGTTGAAATCATACTGAAACAGGAACTTCAGGATGATAAACTTTGATAATGTTCGTTTCTACAAATGATTCTACTTTTCTGTCTGTGTCCTTTTGTGTTCCTCCTTTTATTAGCCTTGCTTAATCAAGATCAAAAACTTCTTTGAAGCAGAGGATTACTACATTGTTTTGGAACTGTAAGTAACTTGATTGAAAGTAAATGCATAAAATGAAATGTTTTTCATAGCCACAAAGAACATGTATAATTCTGAACTCTGGGGGTTTGTTTGTTTGGTTTGGTTTGGTTTTTCTTTTTCTGGCCCCTACTGTTCTCTGAAACCTCATAAAAGTAGGAACTAGGATAACCAGGAGAATAATCTTTCTATGCTTTGAAGGCTCTTAGTGCCTGGAGAGTTGCCCACTATGCTGCTGTTGTGGATTGCAGCTACTTTTTTGATTTTTTTGAGCTTGTAAGAGGAGGCTGATCAAAAATACTGTGACAAGTCTCGTGAAGACTCAGGAGATTAGGGTCTAATTCAGCAGTGTGTGTGCTCACTCATTTTCAGAAATACATTCCTTCTTTGTAGCCAAAATTGCCAGAAGTTTTGGTCTCAGTCTTGCCTAATGAGATGACTCTTTGGGGAGCAATATATTGACTTCTTACCTGCATTTGTTCTAGGATGGAGGGTGGAGAATTGTATGACAGAGTGTCAAGGCCAGTCAAGATGAAAGAAGCTACCTGCAAGTTGTATTTTTATCAGATGCTGCTGGCTGTAAAGGTATGTAATCATGAATTCTACCAAGATAAATATGATTATGCATATGGATATCAGTCAGATGAATTTTTCTGTCATTTGTCACTTCTGAAACCCGTGCAAGCGATCAGCACAGTGCTCTTAAGTTGATTTAACAAGATCCTTTATCTGACTGCAGCCAAAGAACACTCAAACTCTTGCTTGTTAAAAACAGGGACTAAAGCAATAATGCAGGCTGTGCTCACTGGTGGCAGGATTATCATGGGAGACTCAGTACTGTGTGGGCAGAGTCATCAGTGTAGTAGCCTTCAAAAAAAAATTAGTGATCGATGCATTACTGTGCACTCCTGAAGAAGCATTTCAGTTCAGCAGACAATGGATTAAGAGTATTTTAACAGGTCTCAGATACCGAATAACGAGTCCTTAGAGAAATTCCTTATAACTGCATGAATGCTAAGCATATTTCATTAGTAATTTCTACAAGACTATTTTCTACCTCAGACTTAATTGTCTGGACCTGCTTTCAGATCAATTATTTTCCTTTTTTCTTTTGACTCAGTTTTAATACCTCGCAACTGCCAAAACCAGAAACTTAATAGTTGTTCTGTAGTAGGTATTAATAAATAATAAACCTAGAATTATTTTCGTCATTAGTGAATAAACTATTGTATTTCTCCCCAGTTTTGGGACAGCTGCCCATATAATGAAAGTGGTGTTATTACCTTCTACTTTGTAATGGTACTATGTCTTCAGATATAATAAAGACAAACTATTACGTCTACTTCATAGTGAAACTGTGTCTTCAGATACCATAAATAAAAGCTTCCCTTCAGTGTAAATGTGGAGACAACTCGAGTTGGTATTTTGTACTACTAGTTAGACTCAATGTAACACAGACTTCATTGTATCTTAATATATCAGCCATTTATGACTGAATTGTGATTCTTGCTTGCTGTCCGATGTTCTCCTAATGACACTAGACACCTGTTCTCCAGTTTGGAGCCAGTAGAAAACTGGATGGTAGACTTGCACATAGACTTTAGAACTACAGATAAGGGAACAATTCTATGCTTGCCTCAAGGAAGTAACTTTTTCCAGAATCTTTTGTGTATTTAACCTGATCTTGATCTTCTGTCTGCTTCTTACTCAGTTTCCCTAAGTATATCACCAGGTTTTTGAATGGTGTTTCAGCCTCCAGCTCTTTGACCGAGGTGTTTTTTTAAATCTGTCTGCTGTCACTCACCGGTGTGAGGACTGTTGTGGCATGGCGAATGTAACTGTCTTTGCAAACTGAAACATGGACTTGTATTCAAGAGGGTATGCTCATACAATAAAAATGACTAAAAGGAGAGAGAGAGAGAGATGGAAAACCAGAATTCTTGCAAAGGCAACGCAGAACTCTGGTCTCCCTTGGTTCTGATGCTTTGAGATGCAGGAAGGAGTACAGCTTTCCAGTGGAGGGGAGGACAGAACACCTTGCCAGGACTATGTGCTGTGCTTGCACTGAGATCTGACATTTGAACCAGAATTGTTTCTAAGGTTGTTTTTTGGTTCTGTTTTGGTTTTTTTTTTAAGAAGAGTCAAGCATAATATATAAATGTGTGCATGTCTCTTAAAACAGTCATTTCAGTTATCCTGCCATTGCTATATGAAAAATTGGGAACCTTACATTTTAAAAAAAAGTTATTAGTCTGCTTTTCTTTGATTTTTATATCTGTATATATCCAGTATCTTCATGACAATGGAATTATACACCGAGATCTGAAGCCAGAGAATGTGTTACTTTCATCTTCTGAAGAAATATGTCTTATAAAGGTAAGGAATCTTACGTTGTTTCTTGTTCGTTTAAAAATTTGGGAGTATTCCTTCCCATTCTTCTCTATTTAAACACAGCAAAAAAAAATATGGAATTCGTCATACAAACTATGAAGTAACTTAAAGCATTGAGGGGGTTTTTTGTAAGTTTAATTTTACTTTTGTGGATATTTGAACCCATACACTTACCTAAGAACAACTGAGAAATGTTGTGCTTGTTTAGCACTTAACTGAGTACACAACTTCAAGTGTTGTTACTTTTTTTTTCAATAAAATCTAAATTCTTGAATTACAGAGAGATTTTCACAAATAGCCAGGCTGTATGATGACAGGGAGTTTTTTGTTGTTTTGGGTTTTTTGGGGGGGGTTAGGGTTGGGGATTTTTGGTGGGTATTTTTTGGGCGTGTTTGTGTTTTGTTTTGTTTTTTCCCCCAAATAAAGCATCAAACAGATTTGCATGCTGAACTGCTTATTTTTCAAGTAATCTCTTCTAATAAAATACGGTTCTTTTATTCTGTGGTTGTCCATTTACATCCAAATCTGTGAGCACTTTTTGCTAGTGTAAAGTGTGATCCTCTCCTATTTCTCCCTCTCCCTTTCTCGGTTGCTGTTTATTGCATACTTAATACTGATTGGGGTAGATTTTGTTCATAGTTGTACTGGAACTTACTTGGAAGGAAGAAGCTTAATGTTACCTCCTGATGTATGTTGACGATATGATATGTTCTAGTACAATCAATCCTGATATGTAATGTGGTGTTACCGTTTTTAAACACAAGATTACAGATTTTGGACAATCCAAGATTCTTGGAGAAACTTCTCTTATGAAAACATTATGTGGTACTCCCACGTATCTTGCTCCTGAGGTTCTAAATTCACTTGGGACTGCTGGATACAGCCGAGCTGTGGACTGCTGGAGTTTAGGAGTTATTCTTTTTGTATGGTAAGATACTCTGTAGATGCTGCCTTCACTGGGCAGTCATTGACATACATGGCTCGAGACTTGGCAACTTCAGTATCTTTATTAGGAAGTGAAAGTGTGTTTAAAACTATACACATGTAAAAGATGCTACGACAGCAGATGCTTTAAAATGTGTGATTTTTAGTGTTTCATTCGCTACAACAAAATCTGTGTTGTTTAACTTGCTTTGTTCTTTTATATAGCTTGTGTGGATATCCACCATTTAATGAGCAAAATACTCAACTAACTCTGAAAGATCAAATCACTCGTGGAGAATACACGTTCATTTCAAAAGAATGGAAGCACGTATCAGACATGGGTATGGCTCCATTACAGTGGGCAGCAGAGTATCTGGCTCCTTGCTTGTAGTTTTTGTTTAACTTTCTGCCAGCTGCATGGCACATTGCATGGTGAAATATTTAGGTTTTTTAAGTAGTCTCAAAATGTTTTGGGGTTTTTTTAAGTTCAAAGTTGAAGCATTAGAAAGAGGAGATGTTTTCATTTAAAAGATTTCTGAGTAATATTTACCTTTATTATAGCTATAGAAGTATAGAATTTGTTGGCACATATGTATTTTGGGGCATTGTTCTCAAGTGTTACAAGACGCGTGGTTGCACGTAGCTTTGGTGTGTGCAGATTGTAGAACTTATTTTCAGGTACTGAATTTACTGATCATATGCCAACCAACTGTCTTTATTACCTCAGCTCTGGATCTTGTGAAGAAGCTGTTAGTGGTGGATCCAAGCAAGCGTCTTACAACAGAAGAAGCCTTGGAGCATCCTTGGCTCCAGGTAGGAATTGAGCTTTAACTGAAGTACAGCAAAGCTGGGTGGTTCTGGGGATAACTTCTCGAGTAAACGCGAAGGCCATTCAGTAGCCTGGGTGTCACGAGGTTTTGTTGGTGCAGTATGATTTTCTGCAGGGCAGCAGGGGAACGCTGCTCTGGGCACCAGAGGTGTAACGTGTGCCGGACCCTGCTTCTCTGGAGAACACCGTGAGAGGGATGCAGGGGTGGGCGAGGAGAGCTTCGGTTCTTTAGCCTGACAGGAGTAACAGCTGTTACCTGAAGTCAGAGCTTAACTCTGCGGGTCTGTAGGCTGCCTCTGACAGTGCCAGCAGAACAGCTGCCATCTGGTGCTTCTCATGGGCCTGCCAGCTGCCTTTACAGTTCCTGCTGGCTGCTGTAGGACCAGAGAGAGCCTGCTGCCTACTTACAGAGAGAGAGAAAGAAAAGGATATATGTTTAGGAGTTGTTTGTTTTACTGGCATTTTCAATGACATGGAGGAGGAGGAGCCATCAGGTCCCAACCTGTAGGATATTATCCCTTAGCCTGGATACTGTAGTCACCATGTTGGTGCTGGACAACTCTAAACCAGAGTGAGCATCTTGAACAGACTGCTTCTGTGACTTTCTGCTGGAAGCAAGATGGTCTTGCAGCACCTTGTTGTGTCTCAGAGCCTTTGGGGGATGGAGCCTTCTCTTTCTTGCAGCATACAGAACAGACCTGCTCCTTTGCTCTCTCAACAAGCAAATGCTGTCTCTGCAGCACACAGATTTTCTTGTTTTCCTTTTCTCCTTATCTTTTCCTCTTGCAATAGCTGCCATTGCATTTTTAAATGTGTTTATTTTCTTGGCCCCTGTCCTTGGCAAAGCCTTCGTTAGCTCTTCCCCCTTCCTACTGCTGCTTTTACAGCAGGGTCTGCTTTCTTGGTTCTTCAGTTCCGTGGTCCTTTTCAACTGCTTGTAGCCTTGCCTGATGTGGTTCAGTGCCTTTTCCCAGCCTAAATACTACTTTGCTTGATTTCCTTTTCAATTTGACTTCTCCTTGTCACGAGGTCCCCATTTTACCTTGCCACATCACATATTCTTCTGCCAGAGAGAGAAGGGAATCAGTAACTACTTCATCTCTTCTCCAAGGCAGCCACACTATCCTTAATTTTATGTCTGTTGCCTTTTCTCTTTATTAGCTGGATAATGCATCCTCATTGTGGGTTAACTGACAGCACTGCAGCTCACGTGACTTTGGATGCTCTCTCTGCAGGCTGAGGGCATTTCTCAGCCGTGATCAATCCAATTACCCCCTGATGCAGCCTGACCCAGGCTAGAATGTGTCTTACTGCTATGTCAGGACCCCTGGTGACCGGTGTAAGAACTTGTGTAGGAGAGCTTGTTATTCTCTTGGTCTCATGATCTTTATTACATCATCATATAATAAAGGTGGCTCAGAGCAGCTTGGGTCCTTGCCAAGTAGTGTAATTCTCTTGGACTAAATCCGCAGTATCTCATGGTTGATGCGTCTTCAGTAACCTGTGTTCAGGTGAGGGAGAAGGGCTCACAGACTATAGCTGTCCAGCTGGAAGAAGATGTTTCACAGTTTGTGTTCACCGTTCTGTGGTTATCCCGTGGATGTTTTGACTCCAGATCATGTTTTATAGGCATTGCAGAGTACTGAAGCGCTCTGCCCTGTTCCAGCCTATCACCTTTAGCTGAGCAGTGTGTCAGGACTCCTGCAGTCCTGTCATTTCTAGCCTTTCCATCAAAACAGCTGTTTTCTCTTTGTGGGAGGAAGATGAAACTGATTCTGATGTTAAGAGAATCAGGGTTCGGTGGTCCAGATGGTAAATACAACGATGAGCTCCTCATGGTCTCTGTTCGGGAAGACTTGGATTAGGTAGAGCTTGCAAATACCTGCCTGGGTCAACAGTGTAGGTCAGTGGTTGAGCACAAGTGACAGGTACAGTTCTTCCTACTTCTGTGCCATGCCACCCAGCAAGTTGCAAGTCTGTTCTGTTTAATGCCAGCTTTTCTGTCACTAATTCTTTCCCTCTGGCCACTTAGCTTCTGTTGGAAGATGTGGTGCCAGCTCAACAGCAGAGGTTGATGGGCCTCTCTATCTTTATTTTTGTTGAAGGACACTTGTATTAAGTTGGTCCTGCTTCAACACTCTTTGTATGCTGCCATGACTCAGTCTGAATTTAATGGAAAATCCTGGATCTCTGGAATCTTTTTCTCAGAAAATAAAGCCCAGTCTGCATCTGTGGCTAGTGTATAGCTCAGATTTTTAGTACCTGCAGAGAGTACTGCAAAAAAAGCATGGAGTATTCTGCTGAATACCTTCTTTCAGTATAACCATCAGCTTCTGCATCCTTCCTGAGACATCTCTTCTCAGAACTCTTTAACATCTGAGAATCAAGATGTGGGGTTTTTTTAGAGGCCAGATCTGACTGTGGTTCTGATAGGATGGACCCCCTTCTTTGAGCACTGTAACAGAGTCCCACTTCCTCATCTTGTTTGTGTGGGCAGGCAGTGCAGATCCTGCAGAGCGTGTTCCTGGCAAGTGTCCAGGACTGCTATGTTGTTACTATGATGAGAATGAGTAAGTGTCACTGGTTTGGGAACCCTCTGAGTAGGAGGTGATGGTTTCCCTGCCTCCCATTACAGTCTAGTTAGGTTAGTGAGAGGTAATCTTTAGGTGGTCAGCTATTAATTTTGGCACTGCACAGGTGACTGGTGGGCCTGTGAGCTTTCCTGGATATTTTAGCTAGAGGAGGCTGAAGAAAGTCACCCAGCCTACCTCTGAGCCACACAATGGGTTCTATTTACTCACACTGAGCATAATGCTATTCACAACCCCACTGGGAACTGTGTCTTAGGTGAACTCTTAGGTGAAGAGCATAAGAAACAGAGTGGAGGCAAGAGAGTATGAGTCCGTGCAGCTTCCTGAGACAGAGAATGCGTTTGGATGCCTTTTTAAGGTATTAGCTTGTCCTGATTATACTGCTGGGCATCAAAAAATTCTTCCTGCCATTCCTGGCTTTTACTACTGCAGTTTTGTATGTAACTTCTACAGTGAGTTGATTGCATGTAGATTCTTAAAATTCTCATCAGGAAATGTTATTGATGAACCATGCTACACTGATTTTAAAAATCACTGGTATGCATAATGGGAAAGGGGAAATACATGACAGTGGTTTAGCCAAGTTAAGAATTTGAGGTATTTCAGTACGTAAACTCAAGTTATTAGCATCTTGATTATATATTCCCTTTAGGGACACCTCTTACTGTTATGTTTAATTTTGAAGACTGGATAAAAAGTTTCAGAAAACATCATACCCGCAATTCCAAATGTCACTGAGCGTTCAGGTGCCATTCTTTACACTGTTTCCCTTCATGGGCTTTTGCTAAGAGTATCAGTTGTTTACGGTGATGTGCGCTGCCTGCTTGGAAGGCCAACATCCAGTATGTTCAGTTCTAGATACATACACATTGAATACTACCAGCAAAAGAGCTCCCTGAGTCCTGTTACTGTGAGTAGTGAGAAGGAGTTACTGGCTCCCCACTCCCTCTTGTGTTGTCTGTAAGTATTACCTTTAAAAGTTAGTATGGAAAAAAACACAGCAGTGGCGTAGTTTCTGTGCACAGCTAATGCCTGCTAGCTCTCTCGAGTGACTTTGGGTTCACCAGGGGATTTTTCAGATATTAGAAGTAAACACATTCTCCAAGTAAAACTTCATTTCTACAGCTTTATTTGAAGCAGTAGTGCTTTCAAATCATTGTTTTAAATACCTATGCTGTTTACTCCATTTTTTGATTAAAACTTTAAAATTTAGTGGGCTGCTTAAAACTAAGTACTACTCAGTGGACATGTCTTACCTGTATTTACCAGGGACTTAATAAAAAATTTTCCAAAGGCATATAAACAACTAATAGCTGTTTCTGCCTCTGAAAACTTAATTGGGATCCTTTGAATGGGACAGAATTAGTTTGGCTGCACGCTGAAGAAAAACTCAGGTGTTTGTTATATAAATGGAAAAATAATTATCCATCAACTTAAATGTAACCACAGTCAAATCAGGTGACACTGGAAAAGACAGATAAGTCCCAATTCTACATAAAATAAATTGGATGTTCCCATCAAAGTCTTTTTGTAGTGCTTAAGAACGTATTTAATCCACAAAAGGAGATACTGTAGTATACTCCATAGTTTAGAAAAAGAACCCCCCCCTCTCTGCCTGCACCCAGCAATCACAGATAAGCGTTTGAAATCCTTAGGAGCTAAATGATCCTTATTTCTAACTGTCTCTAGCAGCAAATGTTCAATTTGATTCTCTTTTGAGTTTCCCAATTTTTGCTGTGATAAAGGAAGAAAATTGCACAACATGTTAGCTTCAGTCAGTTGTTTAGCATGAATGTCTGGGTTTGGTTCGAGATCAGTTGTTTGTTTGGTGAACACGCACTCACTGTTCACATCTCAGCCAAAGGAAACGATCTGTATTAAACTGCTGTGAGCAGCATACTGCATTTAGTCCTGGGAGAGGTTTAAAGACCTGATTTTGGGTATGGAAGTCTGATTTAGGGTTTCCAGCAACCCATTCTAATAAAATTCCCAAAAGAGATTGTCTTTTGAAAACTGGGAGTATGCTGTGTTGTCCGAAGGCCTTGTTAACGCAGACTGCCCAATCCTGCGGTTGCCCAGCCTGTGCCAGGAGCACCCTGCTCCCTGGCAGCTGAACCACAGTGAGGTTACATGCCAGCTTTTTCTCTTGAAACATGCCTGACGCTCTGCTAGAGTAGCTTCTCTTAACAAAGAATCTCTGCTGCCCTCCCGTCCCCTGTGCTGTCCTTCCGTCCTCTTACTGCGGCTGCAGCCCAGCCTGTGCACACGCGCTGGGGACCGCTGGGGACCGGGGACTCGCCTGCTCTGCAGTGCTGCTCTGCAGTGTGTCCCCTGGCACTCCCCCTCCGCCCATGGCAGCTTCTGGCTTACTGCCTCGGGTGGAGTGTCCTGCCTGGTCAACTTCTGTGTGAATAGTCTAACATATGCTCATAATCATTTGGGTTTTCAGAAGGGAAACTTCAGTGAAATGCTTCCCAAATTCTGAATATTTGCTTTCCAAATGTTTTCATTTACAACCTTTAATATGTTCTGTGGACTTACTTATGTGAAGGATAACTCTGGGATGTTTCTAAGATAATGATTTGCTTAAAAGTTCAGTGTGTGGGGGTTTTTGTTTGTTTGTTTGTTGGGTTTTTAGGGTATGGCTGTTTTAGCTGGTTCTTCTCTATCTACTATGTACAACAGGCTTGCTTGGCAGGGGTGGAATGAAAACTACCCAAATGTGGGATACTGATGAAGCTGAGCTAGTGGAAATGAAAAAATACAGTTAGAAAGGGAAGTCATTATGAGAACAGAATGTAAGACTATAAGGAAAAAACTTGTTTTTCAAGAGTGGATAACTCTGGTCCTGATGAGGCCTCTTCTGATAATGAATTACCTGCACAAGCTCCTACCCTGTATGTTCTGTTCTCTGAATGTTGTTGTACATTGTTGACTGATAGTGCAAGTTCAGTTCTAGCTTGAGCAGTACTGAGTAGTTACTGAGGGAAAACTCCTTCTTTGTAGAATGAAATAGAAGTATTTTTTCTTACCAGCACTGTACATAAGCCACCTGCTCAACATTCTGCTGTGGAGCATATTAGAATCATGGAATTGGTTTTGGGTTGGAAGAGACCATAAAGCCCATCCAGTGCCGCCACCTCCCACCAGCCCAGGTTGCCCAAAGCTCCGTCCAACCTGGCCTTGAACCCCTCCAGGGAGGGGGCAGCCACAGCTTCTCTGGGCAACCTGTCCCAGGGCCTCCCCCCTCTCACAGGGAAGAATTTCTGCCTCAGATCTCATCTAAATCTCCCCTCTGTCAGTTTAAAACCATCACCCCTCATCCTATCCCTACACCCCCTGATCGAGAGTCCCTCTCCATCCCCTCCTTGCCCAGCCTGGGTTTGTGTTTGGGAGTGCCCTGGCCCATGGGCAGGACCTTGCCCTTGGCCTTGTTGAACCTCACACGGGCCAGGCCCACTTCTTGAGCTTGTGCAGGCCCCTCTGGATGACGCATCCCTTCCTTCAGCCTGTTGGCCACACCACGCAGCTCGATGTCATCTGCACACTTGCTGAGGGTGCCTCCATCCCACTGTCCCTGTCACTGAGGACAGTAAAGAGCACTGGTCCCAGTTTGGAGCCCTGAGGGACACCACTTGCCACTGATCTCCATGTGGACATTGAGGTGTTGACCGTGACGCTCTGGATGAGACCATCCAGCCAATTCCTCATCCACTAAACAGTCCATCCATCTCTCACCAATTTAAAGAGAAGGATGTAGTGGGGACTGTGTCAGAGGCCTTACAGAAGTCCAGGCAGATGACATCTGTGGCTCTTGTCCACTGATGCAGTCACTCCATCATAGAAGGCCACTAGGCTGGTCAGGCAAAACTTGCCCTTGGTGAAGCCATATTAGGAAGGTGTTTATTTGGGCAGAAGTGGGGGAACCTCTTTTTCTCCTTCATTCTTTAATTGCTCATCCATTTAATTGGCAAAAATGTAGGCTTTTCCCTTTAATATTCCATATACTACCTAGAGTTACTGCTTTTTTTCCACAGGACGAGGATATGAAGAATACATTTCAACACGTACTTGATCAGACACGTGCCAATATGAATCCACCACAAACATCAAAAATGGTATGTGAGACAGATTATTTTAAGAATAATACTTGATGCATAGAGAAACTAGATTTTGAAGTAATTCATAGTAAGAAAACCAATTTGTTTTGAGAACTTAGAGGAACATGCAGTTTGGGTGTGTGTAGCAGTCTGCTGCCTACCTGCTTTCTGAATAGAAGCAATGGACTTTGGCAGGATGCTTTGTTTAAATGTATAGTAACAGTCTCCTAGGCTTTAAATGGTTATTCATATATTTAAAACTAAATGGTTGGACATGTATGTTTTGATGGATCCAAGTCATGAATGCTTAGTATTCAAAGAAAAATTCTCCTGTCTGTGAAAGTTTAGAATGGTATTGTGACATTCATTACCAGATGCCAATTGAGAGAATTTTAAACAGTAGTGAAAGATGAAGCTGGGGGCAGTGTCTTATACGAGAAGGATCAAATATAATTAGATAAATCTTGGTAGAGAAACATTTGTTAGTCATGCTGCTTTTTTGGTCACAGAAAGGAGATTTTATCCAACATCTGTATTCTGTAGCAAGCAGAACAGTTAGGCTCTGTCTTACCTGATTTCATGTAGCCATCCTGCTGTATCTTTTCTTTTAGCCAACTACAACAAGGAAGCGTCTCCATGAAAATGAGGAAGAATCTGGCTCTTCTAAGCGTGCTATTCCTTCTACATCATTTCAGAAAATGAGGTGAAAAGAAAGAGAGAAAGTGACTTTTGTTAATTATAGCTTTTTATGGAAAGCAGAATTTTTATTTTAGAAAAAACTTAATAATGGAATAACTGTTGAAAATGCTAAATAAAAATAACTTTGTAAGACTGAAGGGACTGCTGTGTATGCATGAGAATCTACACAAATAGCCATATTCCATTTCATCCAGCTGTCTGACTTAAGGAGAGTATCAGAAAAACTCATTAATTAATTTAATAAATTTTTTAGGCTAGCTTCATCACCACCTACACTCTGTTTCTTCTGTTCCACTTTCTAGCTTAGGCATGGAAATAATTCTTAGTCCTCACAGATGAAAAAGGAGTACTAGTTTGCTGAGCTTTTGCCTCAGACATAGTATATTACCTGACACAAACGCTGCACACAGACTTCTGAGGACACAATATTCAGTTCTGATGTAAAATTACTGATGGAGCTTGAGGTGCTCTGGACTTCAGGTAAAGCTTAAATACTAAATACTGGGCTGGCAGGCTCAGCAGTGTTGTGATCTGTGAAGTGGCCGATAGGCTTTCAAAGCAGAAGCTCCCATCTGCATGTAGTTTCTAACAAGTCTCTTCTTGAAAAGTGTGTACTGTATTTACTTCCCTTAGGATGACTAAGAGGAAACCCAGTAACAAGTGATGTAAGGAAGTTCCTGCTCAAGAAGAACCAGGAATTGAACCGAGATAAACAATTTTTAATTTGCTTGTCTGTTAAGTGAAAATTTTGGACTGTGTGCCTCTTACTAAAGGATATTATTTTCATTATTGACTAAGAGGGAGCAATTTATTAACTGTGTTCTAAAACATGCATATTCTGGTTAAATGCATTTACTGCGAATTGATTTGGAAAGAATAAAGCCTAATGCATTAAAAAATAAGCCAATGTCAAGTGAGAATTAAGGTATTCATTTCTCATCATGTCCCTATTGCTGGCATCTTGTGTGGTTTGAGCTATTTGATATTAACCACTTTAATGATAAAATGGCAACTGTTGTACATTCATGTCTTATTAATGAACTGGATGTAGGAACATCCATGGGCCACTGGGTGAAGAGGTTATCCCTGGTTCAAATCCACTGCCAGTGCAGGGGGTGGCAGAACAAGAAACACACATCCATCCTCTACCGCCCTTCCCTCTAGCGCAGGCTGCGATGGAGTGGCCCATCTTCAGAGTTCTGGTACCTCCTGCAGTTCATCTGGACTCAACAGGAACACTCAGCTGCCCTTTGCTAGATAAAAGACTGGTAAAGGATGCGGTGTGTTTGGGCTGGGTGTGTGATCTGGTGTCGCTGCAAAATCCAAGACCTTTGGGCTTTGGTTACCAGGGATTTTAACCAGACCTGCATCATCACAGATGAGCAGATAATTCACTAGGCACTACTTAGACTGTGAATTGGCTGTAATTGGTCTTTAGATAGAAACAGATGACTTCTATAATTTATTCTTCTGTCTTTTTTACATCCCACTATTGTTATTTTTTTTAACTGCTTTGCTTGGATGCTTTCCCTGGGTCCTGACTGAGACCTGCTTTCCAATGAGATCTTCCTTTGATCTCACTCCCTTGAAGCCGGCCCGTGGGCTGGTGGCTGTGTGCTCACCATTTTACCGCAGAAAGCTTTCTGAAGCTCCAGCCTCTTTCATGGAAGAGGTCTAAGTTTGAGAGGTGCTATTAAATTCCGTAAGGTAAAGTGGCATCCGATTTTCACTTAGGCGGTAAATTTTTGTTTCTTTTTCGTGTATTCTTCACAGCACTGGAGCCTTCAGCGTCGCCTGCTTGCCCGTTCCCTTCCGCGGGGGGGCCGACAGCCTCGGCAGGGCTTCCCTGGGGCCGGGGCTCCGCAGCTGCCGGCCGGAGGGGAAGGCCGACCCCAGCCGCGCCCGGTAGTTTTCAAGAGGTGAAATCCTGCTGCAACAGCATCAGTCTGTGTGTACGTTTCTGCTGAACACTGGCCAAGTCTTGTTTTCTGTCTGCCTCACTGTTTCCCACTATTCCCCCCCTGACCGAGGTCAAACACCTCTTCCTTGTCCGTTGCCTATTTCCCCTTGCTTGGGTACCAGTTGCTCCCATCCCTGCTGGGCAGGTCACGCGAGATGGGGTGTTGTAGGGAGAGGTTGCAGGTGAAGAACTTGCCCCGTGTGTCGGGGACGGGGCGATGGTGGCAGCACTCCCGGGCGGCACAGGGCCCCTCGGAGCAGGCAGCCTCTACTGCAGCACCCAGCGCTTTGCTGCGGGCGACGAAATCCAGGGAGTGCGCACACCTCCTGCCCCGACGGGTCGTCCTCAAGTGACTTCCCTGCTCAGAGCTGGCTCTCACTGTACCCTGCTGTGTCTGCCTGTGGCGAACTGATGGTTTGGAGGAAGAGGTCAGATTCCTCTCTAATAATTTAGAATTTAATTATTGTTCATAGTAACTAAATTCAGGATTTTGTGCTCCCTTTAGCTTATGCTAGATTTTTTTTTTTTTTAATGTTCTGTTGGATGGCAGTGGGAGCAAATGGCTCTTTAGACTTAGGAGGTCAACTTTTATTTCTTTTCTATGTCTCAGTGTCATACTAACTATCTCTTAATGAGAAAATGAACTCCTTTCTGCTTTAATTTCTCATTCTTCATCTCCATTTTTGTATTACTTTCTACTTCTCTACTATGTTTTCTTCTGTTCTCTGTTTCTCCCATCCTTTAAGAATTTTGACTTTCATATTCTTCCTTTGAAACGATTGACAGTAACATACTTTGTGTCAGTGCTGAGGGACTGTTCCACAGCTATAAGGGCACTCTAATGGGATTAGCAGGGACCTGGAAAACTTGAACTTTTGAGTTTGCTTCAGGCTTTCAGCATGCTCAGACACAAACTTGAATTTGCATTCGTTAATTTACTTTTGAAGGTTATCTCTGAGACCAATAAAGCTAGATTTTTGTTTTTCTGAGAAAAAGGGAAAAGCGAGGTGTCCCCCATTCAGTCTGAGTCTGTTTTTCAGGCCACATAAATGCATCGTGCAAGGCCCACGTGGCCCGTGGCCTGTACGTTTGGCATTGCTGTGCTAAAGTTTTGGTAAGTGTGTGCTGACTTCCAGCTGCTCTTACAGTGGAAGCATTCTGAATACACAAAAGTAAATAATCTATTTTTTTTATATATATATATATATATATATATATATAATGTTATACAATATATATTACGTACAGTTCTTCTAACTTCCAACTAACCGACTGTCAGTGCTGTATGAGGTTGGGTCTGTTTTAGGCATCTGTAACACGTCTGTTACTGTGGGTCCTAGCCATAGGCAGAATTTTGTCTCTGTTTAAAAATTAAAATCTGAAGAACTGAGGGGTATGTTGTGTTTGCTTTCATTTGCTGTTAAATTATGATGAAAGCATTGTTCTTTATTTCAGTTTTTTTAACTATTCCTTACAGTATTTCAGAATCCAGTTAGAATTTACTGGGCATTCAAGATATATGTGTAATTTCATGTTCAATAGACTTGGAATTTCTTTCATGTTTTTAATTATTATTTTTAATCCATTATTACTATTGTAATTTGTAACACCTGGGATAATTCTGCATTTTAACTATGCTGCATGTGTAAGGTTACTTCAGTTGGTTTTCTTTTATTTTCTGCCTGTTTGATGCCCCTCTCTTTCTGGGAAATGGTGAATAATTGTTCTCTTTACCTTCCTTGTGCTTTTCTCAATTTTTATAGACCTTTGACTTACTGCATTCAATTATATTCTAACTTTCACAGTCTATCTTAGTCTCTCTTTGGATATGGAGATTGATCCATATCTGGTTATCTGTTACCCATCTCTTACCTTTTCTACTTGTGTATCTTTATGTGCTTGTGTGGTGGTAGTGGGAACAAAACTGAATGTGATATTTAAAATGCACTTCCTATTGTAGGTTTTTAGAATGGCATAATTGTTTCCTGTTCCTCCTTTCCCAAAGATTCTCATTCTTGTCTCTTTGTTGATGAGTACAGAGACAGTGTTTCCAGGAGAATTTCTCCAAGGGCTCTAAAATGTCTTTTGTGAGGGGTAAGGGTGTGTTTGGGGCCAGTTATTGTGATAACGATTAAGGATTTTTTTTTTCTCCAATCACTTTGCATTTACTGACACCGAGTGTCATCTGCTGTGTATTTCCCAGAATATACCCCATATTCTCCTGTGCTCTGGGCAGTCAGGTTTGTGTTTGGCTACCCCTTGCTTCACTGGTGTACAGTTTCAGTAGCTCATCTGTGTCCTGCACAGAGCAGTTTGGGTTAGATCTCTGAGAAGCCCAGAAGGCTGTATGCCACAGTCAGAAAATGAGGAAGACAAATGTGTTGCCAGTGTCTTGGATTCATTAGGCAAATTTGCCCAGAAATTTGTGAGTGACGCCCACGCTCCTGCAGCGCCCTGGCTTCTCTCTTGTAATGTCCTTGCCAGCGCAACTTTGGTACGTTGCCTGTGAGCAAGAAACACCAGCAGACACCTGAGAGAGAGGCTGCAGGATACCACTTTGGTTTAGATAAATTGTCTCCAGCTATGGTGGTTAATCCTTTAGAATAAGGTAAAACCCATCCTTTACCCTGGACGTGCCGGACCAGTTGTGTGCTGGGGAAAATCCCTTAGCAAGCCCTACAAGTAACTGAAGCTCTGAAACATTAACCTGTTTCCAGTTTTCTCAGAAGTTCACAAAGAAGGATTTAATTCTATATAATCAGTAGTATATGTACTGGAAGATAAAATAACCCTGTGTTGACAGACTGCTCGCCTTATAAAAAGGACCATACTTTTCATTATCTTTTAGTGCAGTGTGGTCTGGAAGCATCGGGGACTGCATGGACTCAGTCACCAAGTCTCAGTGAGCTCCAGTTTGATTTCAGATGCAGTGTAGCCAATAATAATCAGAAAATCAGGAGAGGGAGAGCAACAATAGCATAGACTGACTTAGGCGTGACTGAAGAGCTGCTGTAAAAAGTTACATGTAGAAAGATAATCCTGGTGTCTTTTGGCTGTCTCCTTATTCATCACAACTTGGTATGACGCCATGACTTGAGATGCTGCTTAAGGAAGGACTGAGAAGAGCTCTGCACCAATTTGAGGAAAGTGGGAATAAAGAATTTGCAATAACTCGATGCGTATTGCTCGTAGCTTTTCAATTATTGTAAATATTCCATTTGGCACTAGGTATATGAAAATACTGCATTACATACATGACCCAAAAAGTATTTTGTAGCATGTTTGCAGTAAAATCAGGTTGGTATTTAAAAATAGCATTTGCACAGTTTAGTTCTTCCTTGGTTTTGAAGTATTTACTTTAAAATATAATTTTGTTTCTTAACTGAAGTGTTTTGAAAAGTGTGAGGGCGTATTTGGTTTGCATAACCTGTACTTTTTAAAATTAGGTATGAACCAAAAAGTACTGTTTAAATTTAGTTATGGATTGCATAGTTGTTATTACAGTTTTTTGCAACATGTAGCATAGCTCAAATTAGGTGGATCTAACTGATGTTCCAATTGCAGATCTCTCCAAGCTCAGAACTGGAAGCTCAGAGTTGCTTCTCATTTTTAGAAAAGACATATTTTCTTTAGGAAATTTTGTATAAGCTCCAGTTTAAAAAAAAAAAAAAAAAAAAAAAGATCAGTTTCCTTCCTATTGATAAGTTTGTATGTAAAATATTTTTGTCTTTAATTGCAATGAAAAAACAAAGTAGTAAAATATTGGCAGAACAATATGCTCCAGAAGCCTAGACATATATTCCACTAGGAGATTTACTAACATGTGGTTGTTCTTTTAATAGAATAGAGCTGTCAGTTGTGATTTTATGTTCAAGGTATTTATTCCTTTTGATTTATTTATGCCTTTAGATA